GACTTGTGATAGATGTAAAAAAAAAAAGCAGGACTGGTATAGTTAGAAAAACTTTCCTGCTATGCATTTACCCAAAGGTGGGAAGAAAGGAAAAGCAGAATCACAGGCCCATTGTAAGGGCTGAGGAGAATGTAGATGTCAGACGATTTCAGTCAGCAGCGGGCAGTCAGGCCGGGTGGGTGTGAGTGCCCAGGATATTTAATACTCCATGGCAGGGAGTGGAGATCCAAAGACTGTATTCCACTCTGTCTAGAGTTCCAGATCAAGTCTGAGCAGGTGCAAACATCCTTCCGGGAACCCACTGATTAACGTTGTAAAATCCAGGGTGTGTCCTTCATCCAGGAGGTTACCCCCAATGCCTCTCCCTCCCTGCCTGGAACAGCTGTTAATAGGAAGTTACCCAAGAAGCAAAAGAAAGATCCACTGCGGGTGTGTCATCAGTCCTGCTATATCCATGCAATCAGACTGAGAAGACCACTGGAAAAAGTGAGCACACGTGCTTGCTCGGAAGGCAGAGGCAAGAGCCGAGAGCCTCGCCCCACACGACTCCAGGCTGCCCAGAAAGATAGAAGGCAGTGGGAAGCCAGGACGAGGGTTAGTTCTAATGCACAGGCATTTGGGGTCATAAAATGAGCCAGCTAGCTACACTGAAACCCCCTTTTGCCCCAGCTCCTCCATAGGAAAAGCTGTTGCTGCCTCCAGCAGGCATAGCCACCCTCCAGTCACCCCACAAAGGTGACACCTGCCAGAAAACCCTCAGAGAAGGGGATTTGGGAAGGCAGACTGATTGAGGGTTGAATTCCTAATGGAATAGTTAGGAATGCTTTTTCCTGTAAAGGGAAACCCATCTTTCTGCTATTCTGGTTTCCCATTATTTTTCCTTTCTTTAAAAATATTTTTAAATGTTTAATACTTATATAGATTTTTCTCACTCTCCAATTACCATCTAATCCATAGGAGTGGATTAGATGGCTGCCTAAGATTTCCTTACAGCCCTTCTGAGAGATTCAAGGATTATATCCTGTCAGTACTAAATGTTAACATGTCTTGCAAATAAAATAATTAGATTTTCAGCAAATCCAGACATCTGGCCCACTTTTTTACATGGTAAACATCATTAGCAAGCTTGTTACCATTAAGCGATCAAAAGAGGTAAAGCTCTTCTACAAGCCAGCCTCTTCCCTGTGCAGTCCTACCACCACTGTCTTAGAAGATTGCTTCTCAACCTTGGCTGCACATTAGAACTACCTAGGGGGCTTGTAAAAAATACCAACACCCAGGTCCCGCCACTGATCAATTAAGTCAGAGTTTCGCAGAGCAGCTCTGGGCAGCAGGATTCTGTGACAGCTCAGGTGATTCTTACATGCAGCCAGAATAGAGAATGACTGGCTTGAAGCAAGAATCCAAGTTGGGTGAAAAAGCTCAGCAGTGGTAACGCATGAGCACGGACTAGAATCACCACCCGATTTTAGGACATGCTCTTCCTCAATCCTAAAATGCTCTCTTCCCTGACCTAACAAGACCTCATTGTTCATTCATGTCTTGGTATAACATTTTGTGAAGCTGAGTTCAGCCGTCCTGTATGTCTCACTACATAGTCCCAAACAATGTTGTAATTTTCTTTGTATGGCTCTCAGTGTGGCATGTCACAATCAGGGAGGTGCTATTGTGAGGTGGGAAGAGTGGGTGTTTTCAAAATTTGGCTACTAGTATGGCCCTCCTGAGCTAAATGGAGATTACAATATACTTATTCACAAAGTTTGGAAATCAAATCAGATCTTGTGTATAAAGCCACTCCTGCTTGGAGAGAGCTAAACGTGAGGTCCCTTTCTTGCTTAACTCTCCACCTACACCACAACCTTATTATCGGAGAGAAAGCTGAACGTGTTAAAGAAATGAGAGTGTCCTTGGGATGGTCTCTGGAAACTCTTCCTGCAGACAGAGCATGGAAGCTTTTTGTGGAGGATGTCTTAAGCACACACATCCGTGCCTCCATTCCACACACACCTCCCCCTCTTGACATTATAGCAGGAAGGATAGAAAGAGGCTGTTGTTACCGAAGGGAACTGTTTCTTTTTGCCACACAAGAGCAGATGCTGAAATCCTAGGGCAGTGCAGAAATGTGGCAGCAGGAGGGTGAGGTCTCACCTCTCAGATATACCAGAGCCCAGAGCCCAGAGCCCAGAGGGGAACCTGAAAGGGCGGAAGTGTGTGTGTGTGTGTGTGTGTGTGTGTGTGTTTTCAGGACCAATTTTGAGTCTAGCTACTCCACAGATTACAGCTAGCTCAAGGTGTGCACTGCACAGCACCCCCACCTGAGCACGCCACCCTGAAGGGAGCAGAGAACAGGGAGATGTGAAGACAGCATTCTTTTTGAACCCAGCTTTGGCTTCCTTACTCTGGGAGGCTCTCCAGCTGCTCCTCTCTGGCACATTTCTCAGGTGCTGCCAAGCTTACACTCTCAAGTCCTCTTGGGGTGATGCTCCCTGACACAGTGCACGCTGAACTTGCCTTTTTACATAGAGCCCCATTAAAGGAGCACCCTGGCCTGGGGGCCCAGAGGAAAGAAAGGAGTCCTAGAGTTTCTGTTGAGGGAGTTTAGGGGAGGAACCATCATGAGAAGAATCTCTTCCTTGAAAAGTTCACCTGGAGGGCTCTGAATTTTCTTATTCACCATTGCACTTAAGATGTAAAAAGATCTTGGGGATTATGACAATAGCGACAACTGAGGTGGAGGACGGGGTGGTGATGAGGATTTCATGGTTCCTCCTCAGCTTCCCACTCTGGCCTTGTCTTCCATCCTCTGCCCTCTGCCTCTTTCCAGCGCCTTCTCATACACTCTCCTGTAGCTCACTCCTCCCTCACTGCTCCCCAAAGAGCAACGACAGCTCCCAAAGTCCCCTGTCTTCCCAGGACTTCCTCCCTCCCTTCTTCTGCAAGCTCACCTTCTCCCACTGGGTACCATATGCCAACCAGAGGCTAGGAAATGCCCCTGGAGGCTTTTTGGTGCTGTCGTTGTACATAGGAGCTAAAAATGGACTAGCTCGCAGAAATATTAAGGCATCAAAATAATACAATCATTTTTTTAATAACATACTGACCATTGGCATGACCATTCACATAACTTCTGATAATCTGGAATCCAAACAAATAAAATGCTGTCTTTTTTTCCCTTAACGTATCAAATAGTGTTGAACAATGTTCACTATTATAACTCTGATAGCCTGCAAGGAAGATTCAGATATGCCTTCTAAATCATCATAGAAAGAGGGTCAGAAGAAGAAGTTTTCCTCAGATGGTTGCATGACTCACTCTTTCCTCCTTCAGCTCTTTGTTCAAATGTCACCTTCCTGAAGGCTTTTTCAAGTGACCCTAATGAAAATGACATGCTGCCCGGCTTGCTCCAACCCCTCATGTTTCTAATCCCCATTCCTGCTGTCTTTCTCCATAGGGTTAATCACCAACTCGTATATCTAGTTTATTTATGTTCTATCTGTCTTGCACATAAATAGGTGAACACCCACGCAAACACTTGAATATAAGCTCCATGATAGCACAGGATTTTATTTTGTCTACTGTGGTATCCCAGTGACTAGAAAAGTACCCGGTACATAGTAAGCACTCCGTAAGTACTTGTACAGCACATAAAATGTAGTTTCATTAGTAAGTACATTTTAGTTATTATTTGTTTAAAATAGGCTGTCTGTGAATATATATACATGATTTTCCCTCATCTTTATCCATTTATTCATTCACTTACTCAACAAATGCTTACTAAGTCCCTGTCATGTGTCAGGCCCTGTTGGGGACACCAGGGGTTCCACAGTGAACCAGGCAGATACATTCTCTCTGTTCTGGTAGGACTCAGTGTCTGGTGGCTAGAAGGACCATTACATATTTGTAAACAAATGACTAAAAATGATACCTAGATACTGAGAAAGGTGCAATGCAAGAAATAAGTAGGATGCTGAGATAGAGAAGGTGACAGGAGAGACCTGTCAAGTTAGCCTGGGTGGGTGTCCAAGAGAGCCTCTGGCAATGAAGTTGAGACTTGAAGAATAAGGAGACGTGATACCATTCAGCAGAGGAAAACCCATCCAGCAGCCTTGTGGGACGAGTGAGTGAGGCACACAGCATGAAAGGCCTGGAAGGGAAGAATGGGGAAGAAACATCTGAAACCTGGATTCCATCCCCATTCATCTATCTATTAGCTATACAATCCTGATAAAGCACACAAACTCTGAGTCTCCCTTCCTTAAAACGGGGGCAGTGATACCTTACCTCCCAGATGTGGGTGTGTTAGGTAATGTATGCAAAAGTGTTGAAATGTAGAATTCACGCGGTGGTGGTATGGGTAAATGGGTAAGTAACTCTACAGCTGGAGTGTGAATTTCCCACGGGCCTTGAGTATCCTGAGGTGAAAACGTGTCCTCTGGCATCCTTAGACCAAAGAAACCAACGCATGGCAAAGCCTGGTGCCACTGGTGCAGCATTTGCGCTGCTAGGCATCTGTCTTGCTTCAGATTTTGTCCTGTGTTGGGACACTTCTGGGGAGGTGTGGGGGAGCAGGCACGGCTCCCTTCCTGCGGAGTGGGAGAATCTCTGCACAGAGCTGTCCGCCTGCGCTCTCACTGCTGGAGCCTTGTCCCTGAAACCCGAAAGATGACCTGAGATATTTGTCCCTCTGGTCTACCAGACAGTCAAGAGGCAAAACGGCTTTGCCTGTTTTTTGCTGGCCCGCGGATACCAGCGCAAAGGAAATCCACAGGGTCACGGAGGAGGCCGGAGGGGACGCGGGAGCTCAGGGCTTCGAGGAACGGAAAGGGGCGGAGGACGACAGAGGGAAATGGGAGGTGGGGGAGGAGGGCTGGGTGTGGGGCGCTGGGCGGGGTGGGGAACACGCGAGGGCAGGGAGGCGAGGAGAGCGCCGCGGGGAACGGGGGACACGCACTGCGCGGGCGACGAGGGAGGCGCGAGGCCTGCGGCGGGGGCGGGGCGGCGGGCGGCGCTGTCAGCGCGCGGCGGCGGGCGGAATGCAGCGGCCGGAGGCCTGGCCACGTCCGCACCCGGGGGAGGGGGCCGCGGCGGCCCCCGCCGGGGGCCCGGCGGGACTGCGGGTACGGAGCGGGCGGGGGCGCCGGGGCCCGGGGCGGCGGGGGCTGGGCTGGGGGCGGGGGTGCCGCCAACTCACAGCTCGGCTCCCGGGAACTTGGTGCCACCACCGAGCAGCCAGGGCCGGAGCCGGACAGGCTGGGCAGAAAAGTTCCTAAGGGCGCTGACAGGCGAGGAGGCCTTTCCCGAGTCAGCGTAGGGCTGAAGTTCTGGTCAGCTCGGAGCAGTGCTGGGACTGTTTGGGGTGGGGGAAGCGAGGCTCTGCAGGGAGGGGTAAGGAGGGGTCGGTCTGCCCGCGCTGAGCGCCCACGGGCGGCGGGCGGATGGGCGCGCTTCTGAAGCCCCCACCTCCTCTCCGGGCCAGGGGGCTGGGGGCGCGCGGAGAGCGCGGGTCCAGCCTTGGCCCGCGGCCAGCGGGAAGGACGAGGCGCGGCGCCGCTGTCCCCCCGGCCCAGGTTCTGTGATACACTCCGACTTGGGCTCTGGAGCAGTCAGTGCATGACAGAACTTAGGCCCGGACGGACCTCTGCACCCAAAGGGCACAGCGCCCACCCAGGGCGTGCAGTAGAACATCTGCCTGCCAGTGGAGCAGGCACCGGAGTTGGCGCATGTGGCAAAGGGTTGGGCCAGAACCAGCAATGAACTTTTAGGGCTGGGGTCTATGGAGCCTGAGGATGGACCCCCAGGGCCAGCAGATCCCACAGAACCAATGACAAGGTGTCTGCTTTGAGTCACGGGCCAATGGAGCTCTTTCCGGTGTCAGTTGCAGGAACCTTCCCTCTACACGGTCAAGGCTGTTTTCATCCTAGATAATGATGGACACCGCCTGCTGGCCAAGGTAACCTCCCACCCTCACCGGAGGGTCCCTGAAGACACTGTGCTACAGGTCCAAGAACAGAAGTCCCCCACTCAGCTGACTCTCCTGTCTCAGGAGAGACCCCACAGTGGGCTCTGTGACTTGGAGCAGCTCCACTTAGACCCCTGCAAAGGTCTTTCTGTCCATCTTCCTGCCTTGTCAGCCTCCTGGCCCCTGAAGGGGGGAGCAAATTTCCTCGGTTTCTCTCATGTTCCCTGGAATGTCTTATCATCATCTTCCACTGGCCAGCTGGATTCTGGGCATGAAAAGGACTCCTGAGGGGTCAGTGGGGAGTGAGCCTGGGACCCAGCAGTCCTTGTCCCCAAATTCTAACAAGCAACCTCTACTTTTTGTTTACACCTTGGTAAACACTAAGGATTTAGTCTGAAGAATCTAAGGATTTAGAACCAGACAGGATTTCAGAGACCGTATAATCCAACTCTCTGATTTCATAAATGAATAAAATGAGTCTAAAGAAGCTAACTGAATAGCCTGAGGTCCCAATCGTTAACATAAGAACAGAGATCCCGACTCAAGTATTCTGATTCGAAGCTCAGGAGGGCGGGTGGTTTTCACTGGACCAACTATTCAGTTATCTGATATCTCTCCTAGCAAACATGGCCTGGGTAAACCAAACTAGAATAAACCAAAATACACATCTACTGTTGACACAATTAAGTATAGCAGTGCAATTAGGCATCTACACTAGCTGTGACATGCATTATGGATTTTTTTTGTTTGAGGCTGAAACTTTGTCTTCATCGTATTCAAGTGAGCTTGGCCATCATGGCAGTGGCCAGCAGGGAGATTACTGATTTGCCTTCAGATGGGGTACTAAATGCCAAAATCCACATCCAGAAAATGGAAAGCTGAGCTGACCACACTTTGCCGCAGCAGATTATCAGAGGTGGATCAGCAATGCCAAAGGCTCCGGAGCCTCCTCCCAGCAAAACCTATCCATATTAGGATTAAGAAACCAAGTCAGAGAGAGAGGCTCACCAAATACAAACAAAAAAGCATCTATTTAGTTATGCAATGTGAGCAAGTAACTTTCTGTAGACATTCAGTCTTCACCATAACCCTTTTTGAAGTCAGAGGGTCCTTGGCCTCAACTCTGCGTCTTAACAACTGAGGTATCAGGGAAGTTACCTAACTTCTTCACACCCCAGTGTCCCCATGTGTATAATGGGGATAATGAAATAGCTGTTATGATTATTTTTGTTGTGATGAAGCACCCCAGGCTCTAGCATCTTTCCTGTAGACTCAGATTTGTATAGAAACAGTGTGGCCTATGACCATCTGAGTCCTTAGCATGCTGCACATTCCAAATATACAAAAGCCCCAGAAAATTAGGAGAGGACTCTAAAATCAGGCCTCAACATTCCCCTACTTTCTTTGCTTAGAATTTGTGTTTATGGGGAAGGGGAGCAGACAGGCCTAGAGGACAGCAAAGGGGATATGGACCCTCTTGGCCAGCACCCACCATTCCCTGCCACACGTCCTGGGAGGAGCCAGGCTCCATGGAACGGCTATCACCCCTTCTCCTTCCCTCTCTCATAGTATTATGATGACACATTCCCCTCCATGAAGGAGCAGATGGCCTTCGAGAAAAATGTCTTCAGCAAGACCAGCCAAACGGACAGTAAGTGTCTACCTCCTCCTTGCCCAGGACTCTCAGATGCACACCACCATCTTCTCCATCTGAACACATCTGTCCCCATCAGCCTCACACACCCATGGGCCAGTCCCTTCTTCAGAGGTGCTTTTTCCTCTCCTTCCTAGCTTTTCTCCTCTCCCTGCCTCCAGGGAACCTTCACTCCCCATCCTTCTCAACCCTTCCTTCTGCCAGCCTACACCCCTCTATCAGTAGAAGAGGCCAGCTGTGCTTGTGGCTGGTCCAAGGCAGTGCACTTCAGGAGAGGGAGTCGATCTTGCACGGGGTTCCTAACTCCTCAGCATGAGGCAATAGCTAGAAACAGAGGCTGGTGGAGGATAGTGTGTAGCCCAGTGGTAGTGTCTCTAGTGCTAGTCTGCCCAAGGTTTCCTTGGAAAGGGAAGGAAAAATAGGAGAGGTGCAGAGCTGGAGCTGGGGGAGGGGCCCCACAGAGTGGCCAGTACTGAAAGCCTCTCCACTTCTAGGTGAGATTGCATTTTTGGGGGGCATGACCGTCGTCTACAAGAGCAGCATTGACCTGTTCCTGTACGTGGTGGGCTCATCCCACGAGAATGAGGTGAATTCAGGAGGTGGGGTGACATGGTGGAGAATGGCTTAGAGTCTGGGGTATAAGCTGGGTTCTGAAGGCTTACCACTGGTACAGGTCCTTCTAGGCTCTAGGGGATGGGTTGAGCCAGAATGGTTCTTTCTGGAACAATACATATCCATTATGCCCCTTGGGTTCCTTGGGAACCAGAAATCAAAGCTTGGGAACCAGAAATGAAGCCTTTGTTTCTTCCTTAAACATCACTAGAGAAGCATCCATTCAGTGTCCCACAGTTGGGCACTCCAGTGCTCTTCAACCTGCACATGGGGGTGCCCTCTGAGGCCAAGTCTCCAGCCCTGTCCTTTCTAGAAAGGGTCAGCTGCCCACACAGGTAGGCTCAAGTGGGGTCTCCTTTTGGCCTTCTCCAACTCAAGCTCTCTGTGTTCCTTTTCCTGGGTACACCCATCCCAGCTGATGCTCATGTCTGTTCTCACCTGCCTGTTTGCATCCCTGAACCACGTGTTAAGGTGAGTGAGGTCTTTCGCCCTCCATGGCCTCCAGCTCCCAGAACTTGATACATCACAGAGGTAGGGCCCTTCTTCCCTGCTTTTCTCTGATGTCCTTGGTCCGCAAGACTAAGACTGAAGTTGGAGCATCCCCCTCCAAGGCCCCTGCCCTCCACCTGACCACTATGCTATCACCCAGAGCAGAGCCACACCAGGGTATGGCCAGAAAATGAGGGCCACAGAAACTAAGTGATTTGCCTGTGGTTACAAGTAGTTTGTGTCAGAATAGAGACATAAAGTCAGGTTTTTTGACTTGAAGCTCAGGGTGGTTTTCATTGCACTCTTGTTCAGTTATCTGGTCTCTCAGTGAACGTGGCCTGAGTAAACCAAACTAGCATAATTCAAACATAAATGTCTACCATTGACACAATTAACTATAGTAGAGCTGTAGCATCTACACTAGTTAGGAAATGTGTCCAAGCACTGTGGCAAGCACAGGGTCAGGGCCCTGAGCTGGGAGGCTGGGCAAGGGCGGCCTTACGGTAGTACACCTGCCCTCTGCTGAGGAATCCCTTGCTCAGGTGCTGCCTTCACTGCCCTTGATATTCTCTTTCCCAGAGCTTGTTGGGAAGGGAGGGGAATGGTCGGAGAGAAGGGGTCTGCCTCGCCTTGGCAGGGAGCCAGCTCCTTCTGGCCCCGGGAGGCTGAGGAGCTGTGTCTGCCCTCAGGAAGAACGTGGAGAAGCGCTGGTTGCTGGAGAACATGGACGGAGCCTTCCTGGTACTGGACGAGATTGTGGATGGCGGGTGAGGAGGAGGTGGAGAAAAGGGGCTGGGCAGGGACTCTCACAGTGGGAGGCACCTTTGAGGGTCACCAGCTCCAGACTGCACACAGCGCATCTCTGGCCAGCTTCGGCCACTCTCCCCCAGCGTGTTCCCAGTGATCCCCACCCCGCACCCCATCACGGGGATGGAGGGCTGTTTCAGCATTCGCCAGAGTCAAGCAAACAGAAAGGAATCCCATGCAGAATTGTGACTAATGGTGGAGTAGGCAGGGTTTGGGGAAAACGTCTTGCTCTCCAGTGCCCAGGAGAAGCAGGCAGCCCAGACACCTGCCCCTCTCTGAAAGGACCTCATATGGGCGGAGCTTGCTGCCTCCACTCCTCCCACTCTTGGAGCCCCAGTCCAGTGTTGGCCAGATGCTCGCCCGGGGGTGGTTACTCACGCTCCCTGTGCCTTACTTTCCCTATCTTTGAAATGGGGATGCTAAGGAATTACCTCATAGGGTGTGGGATTAAATGAGGTGGGCAAGGTGAAGCTCATGGTTCTCCTTCAGTAAGTGTTACCTCCTATTGGAATGTGATTATATTCTCAGGAAGCTGGGAGCCCTTACGAGAATTTCCTTGGAGGAAGGGCAATATTCAGGGAGGGAAAAAAAAGTTCTGGCTCTGAAGCAAAGGATAATAGAAGCCAATCACCTTAAAAACATCCACGTGCCTCGATCATGACATCCATTTTATAGATGAGAAAACAGGCACAGGCATTCAAGTGACTTGCCTAAGGTCACATGGCTAGGGAGTGACAAGGGCCAAGATCTAAAACCAGGTGCACGGTTCCAGAGCTCTCTCTCTTTCCTCAGCACTGCACCCCCTGCCCAGGGACATGATAACTGGGAGATGAGGTACTGAGGAATTTCTCCCTCCATCCCCCCTCCTCCCCTCTCTATTGACTGCCTGCTACTGTGAGGCCTTGTGCTAATCGTTGGGACCTAAACATGAGTGCGATAAGGCCAGGTTTTGTGGAACTGGAAATACATACAATTTGGTATCCCCTCTTTAAGGAAAACAGGCACACACAATTACAAATACAAAATGAGGTGCAGGGGCTGTGAAAGGGAGGTTGTAAGCTTATAAGCTTCCAGGCCTGGGCTCCCAGCGCCCCAGTCTCTGCTCCCTGAGGAGCTCACAGTTTCCCTCCAAGGCAAGTCAGGGATGTGTCAGTCGAGGCAATGCCGGAACTGGAGTCTTGACCAAGGATGCTTCTGTCTTCTGGATGAAAGAGCTGCTGGTTAAGGAACTTGGGGTTGGTGGTGCCCCAGTGATGGGGCCCAGAAAAGGCCCCCAAAAAATGCCAGTTCACTTCCTGGGACTGGGACTGAAAAAAACTGGGCTCCTGCCCTGGAGGAGCCACACCAGGGGAGGAGGAGCCTCACTCAGTGCCCGTGGTCTCCATCCCACTCATAGTGACCAGCCCTCACACCCACATCCCAGCTCGCACCCACAAATGGCTCCATGGTGCTGCCCCTGGCATCATGAAAAGAGTACTCTGCCCATTAACTGAGAAAATCCTTGATATTTGTGTTTGTCAAAAAGGAAGACAAATTCTGATTTAGGGGGTTCCATTTCTTCCTTGTATAGCATGACCAACCAGGCATAAAATAACAATGAAACAAGAAAGGTACCCCAGGGGGCCTCCCTTCCTTTGCTGCGTCTGAGCCCATCCTAGACCCAGAAGACAGAGTGAACTTTCAAGAGCTCTGAGTTTTAAGTCCTCCTTTTGACACCCAGATCGTTCTAGACTGACTGCCCTCACCCCGTTTCAAAGCTTTGGCCCAGTGCTGGCCAAGTGTGTGACCACGAGGTCTGGAGTTTAGAAGAATCAGAGCGGAGAGCTCTCGGTGGTGAGGAAGAGTTCTGACTTGAGGCACGTCAGTGGGAAGGTTGCAGGAGAACATGAGGGAGGGAAGAGGCTTGGCAGGGAGAGGTGGCAGAGGGGAGGACCATGTCACCGATCTCCCTCCTGGTTTCTCTCTCATCTTGTAGCGTGATTCTGGAAAGTGACCCTGAGCAAGTGATCCAGAAAGTGAATTTTAGGGTAAGAATATTCTTGTATGCTCCCTCATTCCCATCACCTCCGAGCTGCCCTTCCCAGGTTCCCCACCAATGTCCTGCCTGCATGCAGGCTGCAGGGGCCCAGATGGTGGGAACCAAGCTCCTCCAGGAGAAGCATCTAGTGGGTCAGTGTACTTGCTGGGGGTGTGGCACTTTGAGGGGTTGTCATGAGTAAGAGAGCTTTTGTCCTCTCCCCAGGTAGGATCACCAAGCACCTCACCATCTTCCCTGGTGGGAAGTACAGACTGGGGAAATAAATTCTCCAGGTGACACCAGGTGGCTGCTTTGGCCTTGAGGTTGGGGAGTGGGGGTGTAGATAGAACCTGCCTGCCTATCTGGCTCCTCATGTCTGGATGAAACCTTTTCTCCCATCTGTAGTCCCCATCATACCCTCATTCTTCATGCACCATAGATGGGGCCCTGGGGGTCTGGCTTCCAAGTGACCAGCTGAGGGCTTCTACTAACTGGCAACACAGGTGCAGTTCTGGACCCCTAACCCCTGTATCACCTCACCACCCCCCTTTCCTTCTCCTCACTTTCTCCACCCAATACCCTCGCCCCAGCCTGACCACTCTCTGATGCTGCCCCCCCACAGGCAGATGACAGCAGTTTGACTGAACAGAGTGTGGCCCAGGTAGGCCCCCGCGTCTGCCTTGACCAGAAATGGGCTAGAGGGAGGAGGAGGAGGAGGACAGAGACTCCTGGGGATCCAGTGGCGCTATGGAGGCTGAGAAGTTGGGGTGCAGAAAGGAAGGGGTGAGAGTGACAGGCCATCTCTTGGAGAGAGTCACTGGAGGCTTCTGGGGTCCCCAAGGTGGTGCAGAGCTGCATGTAAATAAGTGAGGCACCCTTGCCAGCAGCCCACCTCATCTCCTGGCTCTGTGCGACCAGATTGAGACCCCAGGGTGAGCTGCCCACCATGGAGGTCACTTGTCCCCTAACAGAGTCTGGGGACTCTGGGGCCTCATGTTCCCCTTAACATGGGAAGGATACCATATAAGAGTTCTCCTCAAAACCCTCAACCCTTGCTGTTTGGAGTCCACACTGGAATTGTTAAGGAACACTTAAACCTGTGATAGGATCTACTTTTCTCCATTCACCACTTGTCACCTTGCCCCTGAGTGACCTAGCTATGGAAGGACCACCCCCGCCGGTGCCCTGCATGGTCTCATCTGGGGGTGCATCGGGGGTGGTGAGTGGTGCCTGGATCTGCAGCCTGACCGGTTTCGCAGCTGTGCAAACCCTAACCCCTGTATCACCTCACCACCCCCCTTTCCTTCTCACTTTCTCCACCCAATACCCTCACCCCAATACCCAATACCCGTTCTGTCTGCCCACAGGTCTCTGCCCAGACTAATCCTGCTTTTATGGAGCTTCCTGCCCAGGCACTAACTACCTCCTGCCGTGGTGGCCAGGCCAAGGTGGGCCCATGCTGCCCTGTGGAACCCCAGGGGTGCAGCCCCCTTCCTGTCACTGCCCTTGCCGCTCACTCTGCTCCTCCCTCCTCCCAGTTCCCAGGCCCCCTCACACTCTGCCGGGATAATTGGTAACTTTCAGGTCAGAAAGAGCTGACCTTAGGGAGCAACGAGCAGAGCAGTTAAGAACACATATGCTGGTGTGAGTCATCCCAGATGTTTGTTCCAACTTACCTACAAGCTGGGTGCCCTACAGCACGTTACTCAATCTCTCTGGGCCTCACATGATCACAGGACACTCCTCAGAGAGTTATTATGAGAATTATTGAGCCAATGCATGGATAGCTCTTAGCACAACTCCTACTTTTCTAAAGGGGGAAAGAATGAAGACAGCACTTTTAATGGAATTCTTGAGTAAAAACCAAGGAAATTTCAGGGAGATGAAATGAGAAGGGGGGGAACCCCAGGGTCAGGCTGCCGCTGAGAGAGGAGGGAGACTGTGAAGAAGGCAGGGACATAGTGTGGGGATGGACCATCTTTGGAAGGGCATGAGGATTGATGGCTGGAGGGACAATCTGAGGGACATACTTGGGCTCCCATAATGTTGGCATTGAGTGTGTGCATTTGGACAAATCTGTGTAAACACTAGACTGAGGCTGTTTCCTTGGCAGGATGTGAGAGTGAACACAGCCGAGTGTAGGTGTCCTGTGGCAGCGTCTGGCCGGCTACCCTTTGACAACTGTGCCACATCAGCAGTGGGCTGGGGTGGGATACTGAGGCCACACTGCCAGCCAAAGCCAGAGCTAGGGGTTTGCTGAGCTGTCTGGGCACAGGAGGTGTCAGGCCAGGCCTGGTCTCTGCTTGGACGTGGCACTGTGGGTGCAAGCAAGGGGGAGATGGGGCCTGCTGTCACAGCCATGGTGGCAGCAGCCAGAGCAGCAGGGCTGGGCAGCTCAGGCCTGGGCTGGGAGCTGCCTGCAGCCAGTTAGGACTGCTCTTTGGTCTTGAAGGCCTCAGCCCACTTAAGCCAGGCAGAGGTGAGCAGCTGCCACCTAGTGACCAGGGAATGCAGGGACACTTAGAGAAGGGCTGTAGACCTTTCCCTTGCCCAGTGTTAAGGCATTTGACATTCCCCCAATTCTTTCTCTCAACCTCCCCTAACCCCAGGTTCTTCAGTCTGCCAAGGAACAAATTAAATGGTCGTTACTGAAATGAAGGCTGTGCATTCAAGGTTCCCTGCCCCCAGGCCATTTCCCCAAAGTGCAAAGACCCCAGGGGACAGAAGGGACCCCTCTGTATCCCCAGGTTCTCCCAGAACCGACTGCTGAGGTCTGTGGCCAAGGACTTGATATGCAAAAGTTTGGCTTCAGGAGTGAGTCACCCTTTCTCACTGCCCTGGCCTGCCCTTGGGTCATGAGAACCAGCTGAGCTGCCTTAATTCATCCCTGGCCCCAGACCCTTAATAAACCTGCTTTTGTCTCTTGCCAATGGTTTCTTCTCTAGGTCTAGAAAGTGAGTGTATGTTCTGATAAGGGCTCCTGCACTTTCTGCGGCTCATCTTCAGGATGCTTAGTACCGGGGCGTATCCCTGTGGTTGTAAGACTGCGGAGCGTTGGGTCAAGAAAAAAGGGATGATTTAACATACAGGGGCGATGTTGATACCGTGGGGTCCTATATGTGGTGGGGAGGGCTGTGTACGATTGTGTCACGGAAGAAGAGTCATAAGGCAAGGAATGGCCCATATTCAGAGAAAAGGAGACAAAAGATGGTACCTCTAAATGGCTCATATTTCCGAGAAAAGAAGAGCAAAGAATGGTACACACATGGTGGCCCAGCTGGGGAATTCTTTGAGTCACTTTTTCCATCCCTAGCCTCCAGAAAGGAAGGGCGTAAGGCTTCCTCTGGACAAACTGAGGAACAGCATGCCTGTTTTTCTTGGCCTGGCCGAGGCCGCGGAATTCCTATACTGGCATATACCCTGGGTACTAGAGCCCTGCAAGCTTGCCGTAGCTAGGCCCGGATGCTGGGGACGAGGAAACATCCGCCACCCCCACTGCCCTACAGAGGGTGTGAAGAACTGCAGGTCGGGAGGGAGAGAAGGGTGGAGCGGGATCCCAGGGAAACTGAGAATGGAGCGACTCTCTGGGCGACTCGACTCCCTCCCTTCCCCCGTCCTAGAACCTCCCGTTTCTGCCTTTCTCGGACACATACACCTTTTGCGTCGAAGTACGTAAGTCCCCAGCAGGATCTAACTTTCCGCCCCAGAACAACTCGTTTCCCACGATCCTTCGCTTTTGTCAGCCACCGGTTCACGCCTCGCCGTGACCCGCCCTTCGCTGTCGCCCGCCTCTGCTGGAAGCCACGCCCCAGAGCCGCATCCGCGATCCTATAGCGCCACCTGGAGGGAAACTGGGAGGTTCCCTCCCTCCGGATCCCAACCCCCTGACTAACTCCGCCCCTAGGGCCGAACCGACCCCTGCTCTGTGCTTAGCTGGTACGGGGTTCCGACCGGCATTGCCCTAGCAACCAGAATGTTTGACCCACATTGCGAATTCCTCTCGGACTGGGGCACGAGAATTTCTGCCATCCGCTAAAGTGAGAAAGCGGCGAGTCCTGGGTGTTAAAAGAGACCGTCCCTGTGGATTATCTCATTCTACATTGTAAAATTCTTCTAAGATTGGATATTTATAATGGGCATGACTACTGTAATTAGAGAAAATGATACAGATATAGCTATGTAAACAAATACATTGCAAATACTGTACATAACCCATATGTAAATAATGCAAAAAGGCAACTCTAGAAGAGAAAAAAGTGTATGTGACTAAATGCTGTAGAGCTCAGAGGTCAGTGTGGCAACGGGAAATGAAAAATTCTCCAGAAATACTTTGGCAAATATGACACCTCATCCAGTCCGGCTCCATCCACCGCTTCTAAACGACCGCAAGTGCGGGAGGGCAAATTCTCTTCCTAGCAATCCAGTCGCGCCCGCCCGGGCCCTACAATTCCAGTTATGCAGGAACTGGAATGGGGAGACGCGGCCCTTCACACAGAGTGTCTCGCCGAATCCTGTGGACCATATGATGCTGTGTCCATTTTACGGAGGGGCACATCGAGGCTCTAATGTGTTGGCAGCAGTTTTCGCAGAGCCAGGCTGCGCGGTGGGTAACTGATGCGGAGAGGTGTCGGAATCTAGCGCACAAACAGGGACGATACTGGGTTCAGAGGAATGAGCCGAGAGGGAGTGGCAGTGCACAGAGACCAGAAAGGTGTCCTCGCCCTCTGTGGTTAAAGGTCTATGGGTGGGGAGATTGCAGCAAAGCAGCCGATCCACGCCCGCGGGGGAAGAGGGCAGTGCACAGAACCGCAGGAGGACCCAGGGAGTGCGGGGAGCCAAGGGGCGCTGCTCCTTCCCGGGGATCCGAAGTTTGCAGGCCCGGCTTGGCTCTCGGGGGACTGACGTGAAGACCCCGCTGCGTCCCTGGCCCCCTCTCGTGGAGCCACCAGAACGGCGGACCTGGCCGTCTGCCGAGAACTCTGCCCGGTGGCACCGGCTCCCGCTAGACGGTTTCATTAGCGCGGCCCCTGGCCTGAGCCGGCAGGCGCAGACAGAAGAAGCGCGAAGCACCCGGCCTGAGGACGTGCCGCCTGCCCAGGACCAGGTTTCGGGAAGGACAGTCGGCGGTTCCGGGCGGGAGCAGCCGCTGGGGCCTGCCTTCCCGTCTGCTCTTTCCCGGGGGCCCTCCGGTCTTTCTGCGCCCCTTACCCCTTGCCCTCGTGGGCGACCCAAAGGTCTCGAGTATACAGAGGAATGAGGCTTCGGGGCGCCCTCCCTTCCACCTGCTGAATTGGCAGCGGGGTACAACAGAAACCGAGACCCCAGGGGCCTGGGTCCAGCCGGAGCGCACACAGCACAAGCCCTGGGGTTCTGGGACCGGGAGACGCCAATCCCACCCAGACTCGGCTGGACACCGAGGTAGTACCGCAGGCCCTCCGACTCCCTTTATACATCCCTGAGCCAGCTGCCTCCTCTCCGGCTCCAAGCGCCCCCTGACTTCCAGCTATTGGCTGGCAGGACTGCAGAGAGGGTGGGATTGGCTGGCATCCAGACAGTGAAGGATGACTCCCCTTTGACTGGCCCCGCGGCTGCTAGTGTGGCTTTGCTACGCCACACGATTTGGCAAAGATGGGGCGGGGCCGGGCCTGGGAGCGCGGTGTAGGGTGAGCAGAGACCCAAATAAGGCTCAAACTTTCCGTGCCCTCAATGTCCCGTTGAAACTCTGGAGAGAAAAAAATCTTACTTCTGAATTACCGGTATATTCCCAGTAAATAGCCTTTAATAGCCTTTAATAATTTCCAGTAAATAGCCCACTACTCTGATGTGGGCAAAATCGAGTAATTTACCCAAAACAGGTTTGGCACAATGTACAGGCCTCCCTTTTCTTCCAAACCAGGTCTCATGCATTTAATAATACACGTGGGTTCCCGCTGTTCCTTCCTTCTTTTTGTTTATTCATTCATTTAAATATTTGAGTGTTTGCTGTAAACCAGGCAGTAGAGAGAGACTGTAGATTAGCAAGTGATTAGACCCAGACTTACCAGTGGGGTGGGGGTGGCGGGTTGAAAGGAGAGAGGCGATTAGAACGATATTTCAAGGTAGAAACACCTTTTAAAATCAAATGGTGTTTCATATCTTGATCTGAGTTATGGTAAATACTCACAGAGCCTGCACTTACTAGTGTGTTCTTCCCTGTAGGTAGGTCATGCTCAATTTAAAAATATTCAGATGCAACATAGAAAAGACTAGGAACAACAAATGCTGGCGAGGATGCTGAGAAAGGGGAACCCTCCTACACTGCTGGTGGGAATGTAAATTAGTTCAACAACCATTGTGGACAGCAGTATGGAGGTTTCTCAAAAAACTAAAGATAGAAACACCATTTGACCCAGGAATTCCACTCCTAGGAATTTACCCTAAGAATGCAGGATCACAGTTTCAAAAAGACAGATGCACCCCTATGTTTATTGCAGCACTATTTACAATAGCCAAGAAATGGAAGCAACCTAAGTGTCCATCAGTAGATGAATGGATAAAGAAGATGTGGTACGTATACACAATGGAATATTATTCAGCCATAAGAAGAAAACAAATTCTACCATTTGCAACAACATGAATGGAGCTAAAGGGTATTATGCTTAGTGAAATAAGCCAGGCAGAGAAAGACAAGTACCAAATGATTTCACTCATCTGTGGAGCATAAGAACAAAGCAAAAACTGAAGGAACAAAGCAGCAGCAGAATCATAGAACCCAAGAATGGACTAACAGTTGCCAAAGGGAAAGGGACTGGGGAGGGTAGGTGGGAAGGGAGGGAGAAGGGGAATAAGGGGCATTAAGATTAACACACATAGTGGGGGGGGGACATGGGGAAGGCAGTATAGCACAGAGAAGACAAGTAGTGACTCTATAGCATCTTACTATGCTGATGGGCAGTGACTGTAATGGGGTACGTGGTGGGGACTTGGTAATGGGGTGAATCTAGTAACCACAATGTTGCTCATGTGATTGTATATTAATGATGCAAAAAAGTATATAAAATCATATACAATAGGACAATAATTGGACTGAAATAAAATGACACTTATTAGTAAAAAAAATCAGATGGCTGCCGAATTTTACTCTATTACCAACATTTATTTGTATGGTCCTCATTTGCTCCTTAATCTCTTTCTCCTCTCTGCCAACTAAAACTAGAAAATACCTTAGATGAGTCTCCAAAGAAATGAGAGTGTGAAACCCGTGGATTTTATGCTGTGCAGGCGGACAAGCGCCATCCCTCAAAGTGAACTCTTTGGTAAGAAAAGCGGTATTGATCAAAATAATAGTACTAGTAAAAGAAACTTTCTTTTGGAATGAATCCTTTTAACATACATTGACTAACCAGCAGTTCTGAGCCAATTGCCTTGCTGGGATTGATAGGAGCTCCTAAAATGAATTGGAAGTCACCGTTGCTGACTCAAGGACATTACCACCGGCCTGGGAACAAGTCGTGTACGTAGACATTATAAACATAAACACAGGAAATGGTGTGTTACAGAGTATCTGATAGAAAGAAACACTCTCCTGGAGAGAGGGACTGCAGCAGGAACAATAGGATAAGCAGAGAATCCTTGTTTAAGGAATTGCAAGAAGGCATGTGAGTCTCTGAGGCGAAGCTGCAGAGTGTGGACACTTGAGGCTTCTGCCTAGACAGGTTGTGACTGACTCAAGGTGGGCTCTGAATGCCACGCTGAAGATCTGCCATTTCCTGAGTTTGCTACTCTGTACAACTTGTAGGTACTCTTGTCCTCAGAACATCCTAACAAAGTAGATGTTGATAGTCCTATTTTTACAACAGAGGGCATGAGAGTTTGGATAATTTTCCTTAGGGCACAGAAGTGAGATTTAAACCCATACTGGTCTGACTCCTTTGCCTACTGCTCTTT